AATGTCACCTTGTCCTAAACCCTAACTCTATTTGATTGACTAGCATAAATTGCCTACATGACACACAAGTGGCATCACAGCGGCAAGAACTTGCTCGACAAACCTTTCGGTCTTCCTATTTGGAAAAGAAGAGAAAAACATCAATTATATTTCTGTTCTTCCTTCTGTCATTCCCTTCCATAATCTTTAGCAAGTTTAGGAGACCGAAATAATCTCTTATCATACTGCTCACCAACTGATCTACCATTTTTCCAAATATCAACCCACCGGAGCCAAGTAAGAAGTAGCTAGCAGTGAACTAAAAATGCTTTCCTAAATGAAGCAGTGCCTTCGAATAAAATAAAACAAATTGAGGCAAAGAAAACAAAATTAAACGTTACCATTTGTTTTACAACACTATGACTCAAATATCATCGCAAACAATTTGGTTAATCTGTCAACAGGAATTTAGCATTTTGGGCAAAGCTGACGACACAAATAAAAGAAACAAGGAAACCAAAAGCAAACTCGAGGGACAGATAGCATAGCTTCCCAGCATTAATCAATAGTTCGCAAGGAAAACCGTCGGACAGTATTTTCAGATGGCATAAAGATTCATGTCATGAAACAAGGTGTCATAAAAAATTAACAAAACTAAGGGAAAGTACCCATAACAATTCACCACCATATGGCAGATACCTATCACCGAGCAACACAGTTAAGAAATAAGGACATGGGTAAACGTACCCATGAGCTGATAGAGAGCCTTCTGAGTTCGCTTCTCCAGCTTATCAAACTTCTTCTGCACATCTCTCCGCAGGTCCCAGTTAGGTTTCTTCGGAGCAATATTCAGAAACGGATCCTAATTTTTTTGTATAAAAAATACATATTACAAAACAAAGAGACAGAGAAAAAGAATGACGGATTAATCAATGGAGTACGCACTAGAGTAGTACCTCCTGAGCCTGAGGTTCGAGTGGAGGCACATCGACAGGGTCTTCGAACTTGGGGAGCACAGCAGGGGCAAGCTTCCCTTCCTGAAGGTTCTTGTCATGAGGAACGTAGTTACGAAACTTCATTCTGCAACACAATTTCAAGAACAGTTAGTTTTTTTGAGTATCAGAGAAAGAGAAGGCATCGAAGGTAGACAGATACCCACTCTTGTTGTTGATCTTCTTCTTCAGCATCGTCGTTGTCCTTTGGTTCGGGAGCACTGGACAACTCTTGAGCCGCTCTGAGAGCAAGCAGTCTCTCGCGACGGGACGCAACGCTTTGCTCGATCGAATCCTCTTCACTACCCATTTTTTCCCTCAATCAAAATTTCTTCTACTCTATCTCTCTGTATCTACGTATACACAAACCCTAATTCTTCTTCTTTTACTCTATACAAACGCACACAAAACCCTAATCTTTCTACACACTCACAAAATCACTTCTTCCAAATGCAATGGCCAATATCCCACCCAGTGCCTACTGTTCAATTCATCTGTCTTTGTCTTCGTTTTATACGGGTATTCTATTTTATAGTTTTAAAAAATAAATAGATAAATCATATTTTGAACCTATAATTAATATAATATATTATTAATTATATTAATTTAATTTTGTCGAAAAATGTCTAAACAATTAATTCTTTAATCAGTTGATATTTTTAATTTTAATTATTTATATTTATTCTGTTATCATAAAAAAATATTTTATCTTTTATTCATTTAATTTAGTTTTTATATTTTATATTTTTATTTTCTTTGTTATTACATGTGCTTAAATTTTATTTATTTATTTATTTATTTATTTTCAAAAAATTTATATTTATTTTGTTATACATAGAATTTATTTTACCTTTTTATCTATTAATTTTAATTTTAAACTAATTTTTATTTATATTTACCTTTCATTGGGAAGGTTAAATTCTAGTATTTATATAAATATTTTAAAAAAATTCATTAGTGTACCATTTTTGAAATTTTTTAATTAAGTTTGAAAGGAAAATTTTTCCATTTTATTTAATTACTTCTCTTACTTTTAAAAATCTCTTAAATATACCAAACATATTTATGATATTTGTTACATTATGTCGTAGTTCTTTTACTTCCTTTTCTCTTCCTTCATTTAGAGGAAATTGGACTAATTCATGCTCTTTCTATGTTTTCTTTTATCTTCAATCGGTGGTGATTCGTCGGGCGTTCTTGTCACAGAATCTTGAAACGACTATCCATTTCATCATAATCAAACAATCGGATATACTGTCAAAATCAAGAATGATAAAAGATAAAAAGTTAGCAAAAAAATTCTATGAATTGCTGCAATAATGTAGTGTAAGAAATATGAAAAATCTTTGATGGACACCCATGCTGATAGACACTCTCAGAGGAAGAAGAAGAAAAAAATACAGAGATAATAGCTGGTGATATAGAAACATGGGGTGTTTCATTTCATGGAGTATCCAAAATCTAGAACTCAAAATATCCATGAAAGAATCAAAAGTCTTTCAATCTTTAAAGAAAAAAAAGAATACAAACAAATGAGATGAAGCAAGGCAAAAACTCTCAGAATGGAAATCAAAGTTTCATTCTGAATTTGCAGTTGCTAGCCTTGATGCTTATGAGATTATTAGATGATAAGCTATCCACCACCAACAGGCATTCTCCCAAGACTCTGATCTTCATCAGCTTCAACCTCCCAAGTTTGATTGCGATTGGTGCATGAACCTTCAGATCCAATGGAATGCGTCCTGTCTGCTGTTGCTGTTGCAGTGCCTTCATTAAGGTGCTTCCAGACTGCACTTGACCACTCAAGGACACGTTGAGCACTGTTTTGTTCTGGTGACCTTGGTAGAACTGCGGCAGTGACCCTTCACAAAGCCTTGTGTTTGTGTACCACACACTTAACTTTCCACCCTTTTCATAGTAGATGCCAATCTTCTTGTTTGGATTGTTTGCTGTGATCTTCACATCAAACTTTGCATACAGACTCATGTCAAAGTTAAGCCTCAGATCACTTATCCTGAGTGTGTCAACTGAGTAATCTGGAAGTTTTGGTTCGAAGACTAGGTAAAGGATTCCAACAATTGCAGCCAGGACAATGAGGAGCAGAACAAACAAGCTTATTATCCAACACATGCACTTGCAACAACAGCTTCTTTTCCCTGGTTTAGTGTATACTGCTGGCACAGAACGTAGCAGTGGTGGATGGTGTAAAGGGACACCCTTTTCTGATCTTGAGGCGCCTGGAGGTACCAATGGCGTTGTTGGGGGAGGTGGTGCTTCCCCTTCCATAGGGTGGATCCTCAGTCTCTGATGATCTGCCATGAATAGAAGTGATTTACTGAGTGCTGTTCTTTCTCAAATTTTGTGATGGCAAGCACAGTTTTATATCTAGCTCGTGTTGGTGCTCCTATATACACACTTATTTCGAATTCTAAATATGAAAGATGCTATTGGAAATTGGAGTGATGGGCCTGTCAAAAGGTACAGTGGTGTGGTTACCTTCCTCACCTACAAACGGCATGTTATTTACCGAAATAGATCAGTGGTAGTTCATCTACATATTGACTCTGCTATTTGTGTTGCGTCAGATACAAGAGTTTTTTACATTTTCTTTCAACCATGCCATGACATCTGTAAAGATGCAGGTTGACAGACTTCAAACCTTTGTATTGTTGTTTTATTTAATTGTATGGTTATTCTTCTAGAATTTTTTGCACTTTCATGATTTTGCGACAATGCTTTATGCAGCAAGCATCATCATTTCCACAATAAGAAATGCATGGCAAGAGCTGGTAATTCTTGACACAAATGAGGAGATAGACGTATTGACGTTCTTTCAAACTTGCTTTGCAGTGAAGGAAACCTTACTTGCCCATTAAGGCTACTTTTTCACACTTTACAAAAAGGACATTGTGGTATATAAGTAAATACGATTAGGTATAAACAAAAACTTAACCAAGCTATTGGTTGACTTCGATTGGGGTTTGAGGATGTTCCTTAAAACCAAACAAATAGTGTCTATAACTACGAACCTAGGGAGGTAGTTTGTAATGCATGCCCGTCGCAATCAGGAATTATAAAACAAGTTTATTCGCCACAACTACTTAAGTATACCATTAACTGAGGCCGACACTGACATAAGTATTGAGAAATTTTGTATCTATAACAATTATTAAAATGAAGACCTGGTGCGCAGAATTCTCAATAAATTAAATACACCTTTAGCAAACTGTTTGAGACTAAACTACCTGACTAAGCAACTTGCTTTACCATTATATCAAGATAAAGCTAGGTAAAAAATAGTTTGGAAGTTGTATAGCAGGTTAAAACAAACGGTGTCAATATCAATAATGTCCAGCATCGTTTTTATTTGGTTTCTGAAAAAAATGCTTGAGGATAAAATTTAGCTGCCATAATAACAATAACAGAGACCTCATGATACCAAATCAAGAAAGTTATCACACCAATTCAAATGCTAAAATCAAGAGACAGGAGATGTTCTCCATTTCATATATGTAAATCCAAAGATTATAAAATTCATGAACAATTGAACCAATTTCCATTGGTATGTGGGCATAATAATCCCACGCAAGTTTTATAAAGTTTGTATAATAAAGAAACAATGTAATTGTTATTCAATCTGAATCTCTAGTGGAGCTGCCTCAGTTGTTGACTCCTCCGTATTCACTTCTTCTTCGCTAATACCTGCAGCTTCCACAGTCCTAGTAACCCATTCCTTGAGAGGGTCCTCATTCAAATCTAGCCTTAAAACACCCGCAAACATTCCACCCAAAAATGCCACTGGTTCCTGCAATTATAGCAATGACAAAGGGTGATAAAAGCAAGTAAAATTTTCAATGCCAACAGAATGCTTTTTCACTCTACAGTATTGCGACAACATCCGAGTAAATGTCAAGAGTCAAGGAAAACTACAGCTAATCAATGCTTTTAGATTACTGGCCGTAGGTTTTAACAAAGTAATAAGGTCTCTGNTGCTAAATCTGTGTCAGATTCCTATTCTTTATGCGTTAATAACACGCTTAAATGGAACAGGAGTTCTCAAAATATTGCTTCCATATCTTTCAGTTTCCGTAACAAATTGCAATCTACTCTGCTGTGCCATTTGTATCATCTCCTTCAGTCAATTGTTTTTGCTTCTCTTGTTCCACTGTCCAACAAAAGCATTATAGTGACTCCAAATTTCATTAGAAGGCACAAAGACTACACAAGTAATTCAGATGAAGTAGTGTTTACAATGAAACTAACACAAACAATAGAAAAACAAAGAGCAGTTCTCTTATCCAACTAAATAGAATATAGATAAATTATTTGCATATTTATGGCCAGCGGAAACTGTTAGAATTATTGGTTACTGTGTATGAGTTATGTGTGTATGAGTTGTGTTCAAGTGTGTTCCAACTAAGAGTGAGTTGGAAAGGAGTGTGGTTAGTTACTTTGTTTTCTATAAATGTAAGTGTAGAGGTGTTTAAGACCTCAAGTAATACATATTCCTGTATTCCATTTTAACAGAAACGAAAGACCCTATAAAATTTGCAATTGATAATACTAAATTTACTACTCGCATATACTAGATTCACATAGTACCTAGATGGCATCCTGTGACCGTGTCTCATGTCATCTATGTATCCAACCTAACTTCACCTAGAGGAATAAGACATCTGTTAGTATTAATTTTATTGTTTAGGCCAAGTTATTAGATTCTTACCGTTTGTGTTTCGAATTGCATGATTTGCAAGCTAATAATTAATAATTACATATCATTTGATGAGTCACAAACGATTTTCAATCATGCAAATGTGCATGAGTTGACGTGATTCTATATCATTGATATGAATTGCACGACTCATGATTTTTTCTAGAAAGTAAAAATTCAACTTTAAATTGTAAGAAGAGATTGAAGGAGCACTACTAAGGCCCCATTATTTGGTTACACCTAGCTTTGTTATCAATTTTCTGAAGCTAAGAAATTCAAGCAGTCACTCAACGTATCCTAGTTGGTTGTTTGCCATCCTTTCCGATTAGGTTTGGGGGAAAATAAATCCAAACAGAACTGATCCAACCTAATCCATTTAGGTTTGGAAATCACCTAATTGAGTCAGCTATACATTTTTTATTTTAAAATTGAAAAAATATACTACGGGGAAATTAGTAAAAATCAATAGGCAATAGGGGTTACTAGCAGGTTGGGGTCAATGGGCTGGCCGAAGCACAGTAACAAAATGGAACACACTAGAAGAGTTTCGACCCTGGTTTGGGAAAGGAAATGAAAAGGTCAGGTAACACAAAATATAATATTATCGTTGTAGTTTGCACCTGATCGAGTTGTCACTCATTTTTCTGCTGGTTAATTTGGGTGCGTACCTCATTCTCAAGAGAGAAGACAATTTTATTATATAAGATTGGATTAATAATATTGTGTACCATTGAACAAATACATGCATGTGTCATTGTTGCATTCTCATTGAAGGTGCTATTCTTCTTGGCTCCTTGCTTTGGTACATGGAATGCCACCTTCCATGTTGTACCATCAACCTATTTGACCATGTATTATGTGGTTTTAATATTTTTTGGTAAATTGTTTTTAACACAGTGCTACTTTAGTGAAACAACCACAATTCAAAAATTAAATGGTGATTGATTTACCAACAATTTGAATTGTGATTTGATAACCTCAGATCCAAATATAATTAATCGAGACAGAACGGACTTCCATTTCAGTCTTTTAAGTTAGCCTCAACAAATATTTAGTATTCGGTCCTACTTCCAAAACTTCTGTTTGTTTTAGTAAAAACTTGTACCTAGCAAAAATGTCACCTTGTCCTAAACCCTAACTCTATTTGATTGACTAGCATAAATTGCCTACATGACACACAAGTGGCATCACAGCGGCAAGAACTTGCTCGACAAACCTTTCGGTCTTCCTATTTGGAAAAGAAGAGAAAAACATCAATTATATTTCTGTTCTTCCTTCTGTCATTCCCTTCCATAATCTTTAGCAAGTTTAGGAGACCGAAATAATCTCTTATCATACTGCTCACCAACTGATCTACCATTTTTCCAAATATCAACCCACCGGAGCCAAGTAAGAAGTAGCTAGCAGTGAACTAAAAATGCTTTCCTAAATGAAGCAGTGCCTTCGAATAAAATAAAACAAATTGAGGCAAAGAAAACAAAATTAAACGTTACCATTTGTTTTACAACACTATGACTCAAATATCATCGCAAACAATTTGGTTAATCTGTCAACAGGAATTTAGCATTTTGGGCAAAGCTGACGACACAAATAAAAGAAACAAGGAAACCAAAAGCAAACTCGAGGGACAGATAGCATAGCTTCCCAGCATTAATCAATAGTTCGCAAGGAAAACCGTCGGACAGTATTTTCAGATGGCATAAAGATTCATGTCATGAAACAAGGTGTCATAAAAAATTAACAAAACTAAGGGAAAGTACCCATAACAATTCACCACCATATGGCAGATACCTATCACCGAGCAACACAGTTAAGAAATAAGGACATGGGTAAACGTACCCATGAGCTGATAGAGAGCCTTCTGAGTTCGCTTCTCCAGCTTATCAAACTTCTTCTGCACATCTCTCCGCAGGTCCCAGTTAGGTTTCTTCGGAGCAATATTCAGAAACGGATCCTAATTTTTTTGTATAAAAAATACATATTACAAAACAAAGAGACAGAGAAAAAGAATGACGGATTAATCAATGGAGTACGCACTAGAGTAGTACCTCCTGAGCCTGAGGTTCGAGTGGAGGCACATCGACAGGGTCTTCGAACTTGGGGAGCACAGCAGGGGCAAGCTTCCCTTCCTGAAGGTTCTTGTCATGAGGAACGTAGTTACGAAACTTCATTCTGCAACACAATTTCAAGAACAGTGAGTTTTTTTGAGTATCAGAGAAAGAGAAGGCATCGAAGGTAGACAGATACCCACTCTTGTTGTTGATCTTCTTCTTCTTCAGCATCGTCGTTGTCCTTTGGTTCGGGAGCACTGGACAACTCTTGAGCCGCTCTGAGAGCAAGCAGTCTCTCGCGACGGGACGCAACGCTTTGCTCGATCGAATCCTCTTCACTACCCATTTTTTCCCTCAATCAAAATTTCTTCTACTCTATCTCTCTGTATCTACGTATACACAAACCCTAATTCTTCTTCTTCTACTCTATACAAACGCACACAAAACCCTAATCTTTCTACACACTCACAAAATCACTTCTTCCAAATGCAATGGCCAATATCCCACCCAGTGCCTACTGTTCAATTCATCTGTCTTTGTCTTCGTTTTATACGGGTATTCTATTTTATAGTTTTAAAAAATAAATAGATAAATCATATTTTGAACCTATAATTAATATAATATATTATTAATTATATTAATTTAATTTTGTCGAAAAATGTCTAAACAATTAATTCTTTAATCAGTTGATATTTTTAATTTTAATTATTTATATTTATTCTGTTATCATAAAAAAATATTTTATCTTTTATTCATTTAATTTAGTTTTTATATTTTATATTTTTATTTTCTTTGTTATTACATGTGCTTAAATTTTATTTATTTATTTATTTATTTATTTTCAAAAAATTTATATTTATTTTGTTATACATAGAATTTATTTTACCTTTTTATCTATTAATTTTAATTTTAAACTAATTTTTATTTATATTTACCTTTCATTGGGAAGGTTAAATTCTAGTATTTATATAAATATTTTAAAAAAATTCATTAGTGTACCATTTTTGAAATTTTTTAATTAAGTTTGAAAGGAAAATTTTTCCATTTTATTTAATTACTTCTCTTACTTTTAAAAATCTCTTAAATATACCAAACATATTTATGATATTTGTTACATTATGTCGTAGTTCTTTTACTTCCTTTTCTCTTCCTTCATTTAGAGGAAATTGGACTAATTCATGCTCTTTCTATGTTTTCTTTTATCTTCAATCGGTGGTGATTCGTCGGGCGTTCTTGTCACAGAATCTTGAAACGACTATCCATTTCATCATAATCAAACAATCGGATATACTGTCAAAATCAAGAATGATAAAAGATAAAAAGTTAGCAAAAAAATTCTATGAATTGCTGCAATAATGTAGTGTAAGAAATATGAAAAATCTTTGATGGACACCCATGCTGATAGACACTCTCAGAGGAAGAAGAAGAAAAAAATACAGAGATAATAGCTGGTGATATAGAAACATGGGGTGTTTCATTTCATGGAGTATCCAAAATCTAGAACTCAAAATATCCATGAAAGAATCAAAAGTCTTTCAATCTTTAAAGAAAAAAAAGAATACAAACAAATGAGATGAAGCAAGGCAAAAACTCTCAGAATGGAAATCAAAGTTTCATTCTGAATTTGCAGTTGCTAGCCTTGATGCTTATGAGATTATTAGATGATAAGCTATCCACCACCAACAGGCATTCTCCCAAGACTCTGATCTTCATCAGCTTCAACCTCCCAAGTTTGATTGCGATTGGTGCATGAACCTTCAGATCCAATGGAATGCGTCCTGTCTGCTGTTGCTGTTGCAGTGCCTTCATTAAGGTGCTTCCAGACTGCACTTGACCACTCAAGGACACGTTGAGCACTGTTTTGTTCTGGTGACCTTGGTAGAACTGCGGCAGTGACCCTTCACAAAGCCTTGTGTTTGTGTACCACACACTTAACTTTCCACCCTTTTCATAGTAGATGCCAATCTTCTTGTTTGGATTGTTTGCTGTGATCTTCACATCAAACTTTGCATACAGACTCATGTCAAAGTTAAGCCTCAGATCACTTATCCTGAGTGTGTCAACTGAGTAATCTGGAAGTTTTGGTTCGAAGACTAGGTAAAGGATTCCAACAATTGCAGCCAGGACAATGAGGAGCAGAACAAACAAGCTTATTATCCAACACATGCACTTGCAACAACAGCTTCTTTTCCCTGGTTTAGAGTATACTGCTGGCACAGAACGTAGCAGTGGTGGATGGTGTAAAGGGACACCCTTTTCTGATCTTGAGGCGCCTGGAGGTACCAATGGCGTTGTTGGGGGAGGTGGTGCTTCCCCTTCCATAGGGTGGATCCTCAGTCTCTGATGATCTGCCATGAATAGGAGTGATTTACTGAGTGCTGTTCTTTCTCAAATTTTGTGATGGCAAGCACAGTTTTATATCTAGCTCGTGTTGCTGCTCCTATACACACACTTATTTCGAATTCTAAATATGAAAGATGCTATTGGAAATTGGAGTGATGGGCCTGTCAAAAGGTACAGTGGTGTGGTTACCTTCCTCACCTACAAACGGCATGTTATTTACCGAAATAGATCAGTGGTAGTTCATCTACATATTGACTCTGCTATTTGTGTTGCGTCAGATACAAGAGTTTTTTACATTTTCTTTCAACCATGCCATGACATCTGTAAAGATGCAGGTTGACAGACTTCAAACCTTTGTATTGTTGTTTTATTTAATTGTATGGTTATTCTTCTAGAATTTTTTGCACTTTCATGATTTTGCGACAATGCTTTATGCAGCAAGCATCATCATTTCCACAATAAGAAATGCATGGCAAGAGCTGGTAATTCTTGACACAAATGAGGAGATAGACGTATTGACGTTCTTTCAAACTTGCTTTGCAGTTAAGGAAACCTTACTTGCCCATTAAGGCTACTTTTTCACTCTTTACAAAAAGGACATTGTGGTATATAAGTAAATACTATTAGGTATAAACAAAAACTTAACCAAGCTATTGGTTGACTTCGATTGGGGTTTGAGGATGTTCCTTAAAACCAAACAAATAGTGTCTATAACTACGAACCTAGGGAGGTAGTTTGTAATGCATGCCCGTCGCAATCAGGAATTATAAAACAAGTTTATTCGCCACAACTACTTAAGTATACCATTAACTGAGGCCGACACTGACATAAGTATTGAGAAATTTTGTATCTATAACAATTATTAAAATGAAGACCTGGTGCGCAGAATTCTCAATAAATTAAATACACCTTTAGCAAACTGTTTGAGACTAAACTACCTGACTAAGCAACTTGCTTTACCATTATATCAAGATAAAGCTAGGTAAAAAATAGTTTGGAAGTTGTATAGCAGGTTAAAACAAACGGTGTCAATATCAATAATGTCCAGCATCGTTTTTATTTGGTTTCTGAAAAAAATGCTTGAGGATAAAATTTAGCTGCCATAATAACAATAACAGAGACCTCATGATACCAAATCAAGAAAGTTATCACACCAATTCAAATGCTAAAATCAAGAGACAGGAGATGTTCTCCATTTCATATATGTAAATCCAAAGATTATAAAATTCATGATCAATTGAACCAATTTCCATTGGTATGTGGGCATAATAATCCCACGCAAGTTTTATAAAGTTTGTATAATAAAGAAACAATGTAATTGTTATTCAATCTGAATCTCTAGTGGAGCTGCCTCAGTTGTTGACTCCTCCGTATTCACTTCTTCTTCGCTAATACCTGCAGCTTCCACAGTCCTAGTAACCCATTCCTTGAGAGGGTCCTCATTCAAATCTAGCCTTAAAACACCCGCAAACATTCCACCCAAAAATGCCACTGGTTCCTGCAATTATAGCAATGACAAAGGGTGATAAAAGCAAGTAAAATTTTCAATGCCAACAGAATGCTTTTTCACTCTACAGTATTGCGACAACATCCGAGTAAATGTCAAGAGTCAAGGAAAACTACAGCTAATCAATGCTTTTAGATTACTGGCCGTAGGTTTTAACAAAGTAATAAGGTCTCTGTCTATTTCAAGTCAGCAAAAATAAAACCAACTTTTTACTGTATGGTTTTCTGAGGACAAAACAGAAAATCAATCAAATATTTACCCATGAACTGAACAGGAATTCGACTTTTTCACCATAAATTGCATCTCAGCTGTCATAAAATTTACTCAAACACAGGAGGCATGTTCATGAAGGCATAAAGTGTATGGATCTATTTGAAGAAAACTTCTCCATAAGCACTCCGCTTCAAAAATCTCCCACCACGAGCCTTATCTATTGACAACTCATTTGTTTACGAACCAGTGATACAAGTGTTTAGACTATGGGCAACAATTAAGTATAACCTCACTTCTTAAGTTGGAAGCAAAGGTCACATGACACCACTCTGGAATAGCATATCAGTTCTTTTTTACAATAAAGCCATATAGTCCCACCAATAAACCACAAAAGTTCAACAATATCTATGGATCTTTGACTCCCTCCCCCCAAACAAAAAGAAAAGCTTATAATTTGCTCTTCAGCTCTATATAAATTAGACATACGAATACACAAACAGTTTATACAACATTACTTTTTGTGTCTATCCCTTTTCATAATTATGACATGTAATATATGACTTGCAAGAGAGAGACCTACAAAAGTTATATCGCGGTACAAATTGTTGTATGATTTTTTTGTTTTAAAATCATTTATATAAAATCAAGGCAGCAATATACTTGGAAAAGTATCCCAACCTACTCCTAGTCCAAAACAAATGTATGAATCGGATTAAGCTCCACTAGACGTTCTTGTATTTCAGGTGGCAGGATCATCAGTATTCTGGTCCCCCTAGTATGTACGGCGCCAGTTGGCTCTTCATCATTAGACTAGATAGTAAAATGTAAGCACAGTCTGAAATCCCAATCGTATTTCACAGGGCTACTCATGGTGTTAAGAGATACTTCTATCTTTGTTCGAAAAATCTTTGAAGTCTAACTAAGGAAGTGTATCACTCTTCCTCACAGTCACAAACATTTCAAAAGTCAATTGCAGATGAACCTTGATTTAATTTAAAGTACATTTCGATCGTAACATATTAAATCTGAAAAGCAGATACACCTTTGCTTGTTCATTTTAAAGACAAATTTCACTTTTTTTCTTTCATTTCATACGTGCTATGCCACGTGACATGAAACAGTAACAGTTAATCAAAACACAGAATTAGGCAATATGAGATTATGTTATCTAAGTCTGAGCTATAAACGAATGATGAGAAGAACAGACACTCATACCTTGAGAGCATCTTTGACGATGGGGTCTTGTTCAGGATTAAAGAAAAAGGCTTTAACCCCATTTCCATTCCTTTTCCCTGTTCTACGGATGGTTCTGCTGATTCCTCCTATGCTTGGCCCATGTGACAATAACCTAGCTTCTTGCTTCGATTTCCAGCACTGTGAATCAAATTAACGAGAGGAAAATGAGGAAGTTAGGTAGAACGGAACAAGAGAGGAAGAAGATGAGATAATGAACCTGAATAGATGGCAGCGACAGCAGAGGAGATTTAAGGAGAGACATAGCTATGCTTGCTCTTTTCTTCAACACAATAGATTCGACTTCACTACCAATTGAAATTCTCTCCACAATTAAGAAAACGGAAGTTCGGAAATTCTAAACTCTTTTCTATAGAGTAGTAATACAATGACACGCCTACGTGTCAGTTACATTCAAATGACACGGTCCACATCAGCGTTTTGGAAAAAAGAGTGCAGAGTGGATGAGGGTAAAATTGGAAAAAATAGAATTTGGGAAACGTTCTCCTCGCTAGAAAATCCATTTAGGTTTTCTTTGTCACAAGCATTCTTCTCCATCAGTAGTGCCTCTATTCTGATTTCTGCTTCTTCGGTGCTTCCATCGCTAGTGCCGCTCCCAATCTCATCTCTCGATTGTGAGCTTGAGGTAGGGGTTTTGTTTTTTGATCTCTCCTAAGTGAGGGTTTTTCTATTTTGATTTCGCGTTTCCTTTTTGAAGTACATTGTGATGTATTTCTGCAAGATTATTTTCAGTACAAATGCTTTATCATTTTCGATGTGGGAACCAAACACAAAAATGGTATTAGTGAGTTTTATGTAACCAAAAACAATATGCTCTGGAATATCACATTGTGGTGATATACATTATGTCGTAATATGTACTCGTAATATACAGAGGTGGTAAAATAAACAAGTTTTATAGTTAAATATAAAATAAAAATTTGAAGCTTGTTGATGTATACATTTTTTAGAAGAAATTGACGAGCTAGTCTTCGAAATGAAGACACACAAATGAAAGGAATCAAACCTACACTGCACTCTGCAGATGCAATTCCTCATTTTTTCCCATCCATCCATGTCATTGCTTTGTAACCACTCTTTATGCTAACCTCCCTATTTAAAACATGCCTTTATATATCATCCCCATCTTTTCCACTTTCTTCCCTCTATCAATGCTACGCCTTGTGAATGAAATCTTTACATGAATCATTCTAAACTTACTGAATTTTATCTATTTTTATTCAACTGGGAGGGGTCTATAAAATATTTTTTAATCTTGTCAGTCTAGCGTTTGCCAATTGCAGTGATGCAATCTTACTTAATTTTTCACCATTTCTAGTGTTGTCGAGTTCACAAGGTTTTTTTCTTGGGTCCAATAATTGATTATTGGCAATTTTAAATTTAGTCCTTTTGAAATTTTTAAGCATGATTGGCTAAGCGGGATGTAGTTGCTTGGAATTTTCTGAAGCTATAATTAATGTTAGGAGATG